ATGTTCTTTTTTTCTTTCAAGATTTTATGAAGAAACCTGTTTCTTTTGCCCACTCTGTGCCTTGTTTATGGTGGGAAGGCTTTACAGCTAATTTGGTGGTGGTGTGTGCTTCATAATCATTCTCAGTATGGCTGAGCCATACTGCATGAAGTACATTATAACATACTTTCCTCCTCTTGAGCAAATTGGTTTATTTTAGGCTAGCCTGTGCCTTCTCCTGGGTTTTGCTAGCCCTGTTGCAGAGGGGCAGACTGTCACACTGTCTGTGGAGATGATCTCAGATGTAACAAAATACTGCTCTGACACTCAGTTTTAGAAATGATCTTTCAGCCTGAAAGGTGCAGTGCTGATCACATCATGTGATGTTCCTTTAGTCTTTCCATGTGTTAACACATCTCCTTGGCCATACACACAGTACAGCATGAATGCTACACATTTGAGGATGCTGAGAGTAGGGCATTTTTTCCATTCCCTCTGTTGTTTGTCTTGCTTCCCCTGGATCAGACGTGAACCAGTTATTTTTCATCCTATCTTTTGAAGCCTATTGTATCTTTAATGGTGTGTACTGCTTCAGTTGAAATGAAGCTACAAGGACTTGTGTCAAAAGATTATTGATGGTTACAGTGTCAGGGGCATGCACTGCCCTTTCCAAGTGATACTGAAAAGTAGAAGCAGGCGTGCTCACTCCCATAAATCGTACCCGGTTTCCTCGCTCGCTATTGTAGGTTTTGGCTGGCAGAATATTTGTCCTCGAGTAGCACCTGCTCTAGCCCTTCATGTTCAGTATGCTTAACTATTTGTTTGCGGATCCAAAGTCAGTCCATGCCATTGTAGTGCTCTCTGTCATGGTTGTTCAGCCCAGTGTTGCATTTTAATAGGGGTGAGTAACGCGTATGTGTATAAGGGTGACCTGGTTTGTACTCATGTCTAGTACATTTTCTTCCAGTCCTTTTTGTCTGTGTTATTGAAGCAACTTCACAGTGTTAGATGTCTCTCTCCTAAAAGTTCTGTTTTTTTAGTCCTTTCTCTGAATATAATCTGTTTAGGTCAGGGTTTATTTTCTATGGGACCCTTAGCATACTTGTGGGACCTATAAAACAGTAAGTTCATGTTACATTACAGTGCAGCATGGATGTGTTGGCAGTAAGATCAGCAGCGGAGACAGTAGTCTGTTTAAAATTAGAAACCTGTTGCCTTGATATACTTGGTTTGAGCCATCTGGATATGTTATTTGACTGTCCAATTATTTCTTGCGTGGAGGAAGGGGCCAAGATCTTTGGTTGTTTGATGGACATTGAGAAACAGCTGAGAGATTAATTCTGCCTTTCACAGAGCATTTCAGCTCCCTGTGCTGTTAGGAAACCATATGCTTGGTACATCACCAGTTTGCATCAGAAGTGAGACCTTCATAAACATTTTGTATCTCTCATGGTGTGCTGAAGACACGCATTGATCAGGTGTATCAATGACAGTAGCCTGGCTCCTTCTCCCCTTCTTTTCCCTCGCCCCCTTACTTACTGGTCCTATACTCTTTCATAACCTTTTTTTTCTTTTCCTTCCCTAGAAAGAAAAATCTACATCCTTCTCTTGCCCACTGTGTCACACCTCTGTTTCGGCAGTGCACATGTTAACACCAGTGCTGTTTTCTTTCCATGTCACCCTTTAATGCAAACCCTGCTCTGTGTGCTGGTATAAAAAATGGTAACATTTCCTCATCTTCAGGATTAGCACTGTGGACAGCCCTTTTTGCAGTGCTGGAAACTTCCTTGTTGTTCCGTTAGATTTGTTCTGATTCCTCACAGTGCCTTGCTGTCCAGGTGTGTGCCTTGTTGCTCATGTCACTTCCTCCGCATCTCGGAAGTGTGGTTTACTTTGTTGTCAAGGTGAAGTGGCTTGTTGGGCTAGAACAGAAACTATGGCATTGCAGCTCTTCATGGGAGCTTCATCAATAATGCAGGTAGAAACAGGGAGAGATTTAAAATTGAAAGAGGCTTAGCAAATTGCCTCTGTCATTTGCCGATTTGGGTGAGAGATTATAATCTAAGTCAATGAAAATAATATTCTTGGCAAAAGCCTTATAAAGTGTGAGCTGCTTTGCAGTATGTGGGCAGGGGGAAGCCTGCACTGCCCAAAGCCTCTGCTTAGCAGAGGAACTAAGCAGCAGATTTTTTTTTTTTTTTTTTTGGCTTGAAATGCATCATAGAGCAGCTTTCATGTGTGAAACAGCTCTTCTGTATACATGAAAAACTAGATAAAAATGGTAAGCACTTTGACATCATATATATTTCCAAAGGGGAACACAGGAGGGATTTGGACGTAGAGCAAATAATATGACCCCAAGTACTGCTCTGTCCCTGTGTAGTGCTCTGTCCCCAGCAGCACCCTGCTTCATGCACTCCTTTCTGGGATGCTGCTTGTGCTCATTTTCCCCAGTCCAGAGCCCTGCCTCTGTCTGGCAGCATAGCCTGGTCTATTTATATTACAGATCTATTTATATTGTTTCAGGATAACTTTCATCATTGTTCCAAGTGCATCTGGAAAGAGAGACAGAGGCTTGCCATGTAGCTGCAGACATTAGGAAACAGGGGAAAAAAGTACTTCATCCTCTGCAAATGTTTTCCCTCTTGGCCTGTAGAACTGGTGCTTCATTTAACTTCAACCAAATGTCAAGTAAAGGGGGACAGGTTGAAAAGAAATTGTCCTTATTTTTTGTAAACAAGAATCAGCTTCTCTGTTCCCCTTTGCTTCCTGCTTATGTTTTCTTCCTGTGCTGGTTGTAGAGAACTTCCCATTATCTCTCTGCTCTTAACAAATCGTCGGTCAGCCCTTTTTCCTTCCTACTGTAGTGTTGCAACTTAGGTCTGGTGGTGTCTTATCTCTCTGTTTTCTTTGTTAGCCTTTTCTGTCTCAAAAAGCAAAGGAAGCAGGACCTTTTGAAGGTGAGTCTCTTCAGCAGAGCCAATGATACAAATTGTAAGTCGGACTTTTTATGATATGAGCACAAAGCCAGTGATAGAGGAGTGTTTTTAAAAGTTGGCATTGGAGCAGATCTTTAAAAACTTAATTTCTGAGCCTCCTTCCTAGGTCATTAGAAAGCCACTACCATGGATTAAAAGATAGCACTTGAATTCTTATGTGAATATGTGTTCTGGGTGGAAGCTATTAGTTTCAAACTGAAGGTTTTAATGAGATGTGTCCCCATATGTTTTCTGGAATAGTTGTCTCCAGTTCCACAATGTAACATCACAGAGATGATATTCACTGCTGTGAAATGCAGGTATCCATGGAGTGGAAATCTGTAGCTACACAGTGCATCTCAGCTGTGACCTAGAGATTTGGCCATTGATAGGCTGAAATGCAGTACGTAGATTTGAATAGTCACATAGCCTTAGCCCCTGTGGTGTACGTGAGGCAGGGTTCATCAGAAGTCATGCTTTTAAGCATGTTTCTGGCCCAACAGGCTTAAAACAGCAGAGGGCAATCTTAAATCAGATTTCAAGGAAAGAATGGTGCTCTGAGATTAATTTTACTTCTAGGTAAAAGTTTTTATTTTTGTAATGCCTTCCACCAAAAAAAAAAAAAACCCACAAAACCAGCCCACATTTGCCAGAGGAAGCCTGAACCTCTATGAATAACTAAAAGCTGCTGACAGTATGTTTCCTTTCCTTACCCTTCACTGATCCCTGGGAGTGCTGCTGAAGCGAATGATCTGGGAGAGGGGCATGCTGGCATCTGAGGAGAAGGGTCTAAAAGCAAGGGAGGAAGATAACAAAGAGTAACTTTATAGAACGGGGGGAAAGAGAGAAAACTTTTGACTTCCAGAACACAGAGAGGTTAACTAGGAGACAGAATTGTAATACGTTGTTAAAACAAGAGCAGACATAGTACCCAGCCTTCTCTTCTGTAAATATTTCATTGCTTTCTTTTGAGGACCAGAATTGAACTAGTGTCTGCGCTAATTGCTGTTCCCTGAATTCAGATTTATTGGTTGCTTTGATCTAAGAATTCAACAGACTTAGAAGTTTTATTCCTAGTGCTTGACTGTTCCCAAGAGTTCCAGTGTTTACAACTTTATTGCAAGTTTCACAATATTTGATATTTTCCGTAGAAGTGTAGCTCCAGAGTTCTAGGATTACAAGAAAATCCTTGTTTAAAATTGTTCCTACACTTCAAAGTTGGAGGCAGGGAGCATGTGGAAGCATAAACATTACCTTTGAAACAGAAAAACCAAAAGGCAAATAACTGCACTTTTTCATATTATTCTTAATCTGTTCTAATTGTTTGCTGAGGGTCTGACTCATGATTTATTTGCTGTTTGATGCTGAAAATTGACATGCTCAGTGGTGGGTTTTGTTGCTTTTCTTTTGGTGACCACCCAGAATCTCCTTATCCACTCCGTAAAAAAAGCCCTTCAGTGTCATTGACCAGATGTTTCTTACATATACGGACTTCTTTACATAGTGTCAAAATGCTGGATGCTTTAGCCAGCGGGGCAGTGTCAGGGTCAGAGATAATGCTGTGTACACTGTTCAGCCTCAGGGTTTTTTGGTTGGTGGGTTTGGGTTAATTTTTTTTTTTTCCCCCCACAGCTTGCATTACCTGACCCCTACTGCTCCTGTTCATGTCAAATTAAAAACATGAAGACATTCAGAGTTCTCCCTCTGAGAAGAAGGTTGTGTGGATGTTTGTTAGGGACCTGTTACAACCAAGAAAATTGATACAACAGAATTAGCGAGTGGCTGGAAGACATTATGTTGTGTGGCACCACTCATTGTTGAGACTGTAGAAAATTACACCGAGTAGTCACAGCAAATAAGCAGGAGTAGAAAGATGTATTGTTGGAAATAGAAATGTGCCCTGTTCCAAGTACTTGTGTGGAGAGCCAAACAGCTGAGGTGTTTCTTTTCCCCCACAATCCTCTTGGGTTTAGGTTTTGTTCTTTTGGCAGTTTGTCCTTGTGATTTCATCATTTTCCCACACCTCTTCTTCACATTGTGTTTCAACAGATCTGGTGGCTGGATCCAGAACTGACGTATGGCAACGCGAAGCCATTTGTCTTCACGCAGGGCCACTCAGTGTGTAACCGGTCTTTCTTCCCATGCTTTGACACACCAGCAGTGAAATGTACCTACTCAGCTACTGTCAAGGTAAGAGACCAAAGGGCCATAAATGGTTCATGGAGTGCTTAGCTGCTGTTAATTTGTGAAAGTATAGTTCCATTGTGTATGTACTTATATAAAATATTAATTGTGACAGTGTTATAAAATTTTTTGGAACCCATTCTGGTTGTTGGGCCAGAAACAGGCACAAGGCAACTCTTTTGCCTATCATGCTTGGGTCTTGCCTTCCCTGTACTCAGTGCTGAAAGAGTAACCATGAAATGGATAACATAATAGAGGAAATTTGGCTGGTCATTTTCAGTAGTGGTTATAGATGGTAATATTCAACTGTATTTTATCAATTCTTGAAAGGAAAACCATAAAAGCTTTATGAAAGCGGAATCAAATAATTTTGCATTTTGTGTAGATGAGATAATCTGGTGTCTGGGCACTTTTGGGGCAGCTGGCATAAGACCTATGCAATATGTGAGGAGTAATATTTTTGGTTGGTATGTTTTCCTGGGCTGGGTAGATGTGGTATAAAAAACTCACAGAAATTTTGCATTTTATGTTATCTAAATGATTGATTTTAATGTACATCCTCAGGCATAGATGAAAAAACCCAGAGAGATCTGTGGTGTAGTCATTCAGCTGTGATCATCAAGTGAATTGATGTGTATGATGTTGGTGTTCCAGGCTCCAGCAGGCATACAGGTGTTGATGAGTACCACCCAAAGTACCTTCTTAGAAGAGGAAGGTGTATATCAATTTTACATGGAATATCCAGTTCCTGCCTACCTCGTGGCCCTGGTGGCAGGGGACCTAATACATGCAGACATAGGTCCTAGGTAAGATTTGCAGTGAGTTGATTCTGCTTTTTATGTCTTTGTACAGTGCTTCATGTTGTTAGTAGTAAATATGTTGAGTCATATGTTGATAAGGGAACAGTTGGGACTGTGAGCTGTGAGCATTCAGAGCGTTTGTGGTTTATTTGGATGTAAATAAATTTGTGACACTGCACTGGCAAGATATTTTCCTCTTTTCATAAATGCTGCTTATTGTCCCCTTAGTCATTACAGCTATTTATCTCATTGCCTTATCCCTTAAGGATCTTTGGTTATCTCTTGCCATGTATGCATAGAGTGTTAGCCTAAAGAAGGCCCAAGTCTGATGTGGGACTTCTCAGCACTATTACCATACATGGAAGTGTGGTGAGAAGTCAGGCTATTTTTTCTAAGAGATAATTCAGTTTGCTGAAGCATCACCTGATGTTTTCTGTTTTGTGACAGGAGCAGAGTGTGGGCAGAGCCTTGCCTGCTGCCAACAGCCATCAGCAAGCTTTCTGGCATTGTTGAGCGCTGGTTGACGGCTGCAGAGAGTCTGTATGGCCCATATATATGGGGACGGTGAGTTTAATAAGTCTCCCAGGAAAGTGTAATAGGAAAAAAAGTAGAAAGAAATGATCATGTTTTCTTCCTGTGCTAGCAATAGCAGGACAAATGAGCCTCTCAACTGGAAACACTGTAGTACGTGGAAACAAACTGGAGTTTTGTCTCTGCCCATGGCAGAGAGGATTATGGAAGCATGTGGTGTTTTTGGAATGGTGGGCAGAATTAGAGGTCTCTAAACAGTGGATCTTGCCTGAGGAGTGAAGGTTTTTCATGCTATAGAGTTTCGTGATGCAAGTCCAGTGTTGGGCTGGGCACCATTTAAAATATATGGCAGTTTTATTTATCTTACTTATTTTTACATATGGTATTTGACATACATTTGTTGTGCTATTCCTGAGCATGCTGAAAACCTGGCTCAGGACAGACTCGCTGAGAGTCCTAGTCCCTAAACCCAACATTAATAGTTTCTGACTCTGTATTAAAAGAGAATGTTTTTGAGAGAATGCTTTCTTTCTTTGGATGGGAGAAAATGTTTACAAAGGCTTCCTATATTTCTTTGCTAAAGGTAAGCAGGAAGAGTGTGGTGGTGTTATTTTGCAAACTGTTGCTTGAAATAATCTGAGAACACGGCACAGTGTGGCAGTGCTGATCCTAGGCAGAGAAATGTGGAAAGCAAAACAAATAGTATTGTTACATTCTGAAGCAGACAAACCAGAGTTGTTTTGCTGACACTGCAGGTACACCACATCAATTAATTCTATACCTTCCTGACCTGCCTCTTTCCTAGGAGCCTGTGGGGATTCAACACTGTGTGTGTGATAGTGTATGTAGTGTAAGCAGAAGAATTAGGCACTGCTGCTCTAGCAATCTTGTTCCTGAAGTCACAAAAAAGTCTCAGAAGAGCCTTCCCTAAAGGAAAAAAAAAAATAAAAAATTACAGTGAGTGTGTTTTGAAATAAGCTGTAATTCACCTCTCTCCTTTCTCTCCTCTTCTTTCTTCTCTCTTCCTACTTTTAGATATGACATTGTTTTTCTGCCACCATCCTTCCCTATTGTTGCCATGGAAAACCCATGCCTGACCTTCATCATCTCTTCTATTCTGGAGAGTGATGAGTTTTTGATCATTGACGTCATTCATGAAGTTGCCCACAGCTGGTTTGGAAATGCAGTCACCAACGCTACATGGGAAGAGATGTGGCTGAGCGAGGGGCTGGCCACATATGCACAGCGCCGGATCACCACAGAGACCTATGGTACAGATGCAGAAATGTTTCTCCTTCTGCTGTGTCTAACCAATAGTTGAGAGTTGGCTGCGTAGAATATTTGTCTTGGGGACTCAGAAGTCTGTAGGGAGCTGGTTTTTCTGTTTGCTTGGGTTTTTTCTATTTCTGGAACACATATGGCCCCAGACTTCGCATTTAGCATCTTAGATGCTTAGAGTCTGATGGAATTGTGTGTCTACTACCAGTGACATTACTTTTTTGTAGCACTTGATTGCTCCTTTGAAAGTTACCTGTATAGTACTCATTCAAATGTGTGCAAGAACTGATAAGATGATGTCAAGGATAGAAACTTTAGCATAGCTTTCATGCTGCTTTGTTTTTCAGTTCAGCCTGCTGTATAATCAGAATAAGTAAGTGCGCTGGTTTAGGTTCTGACCTTCGTTACAGATTGCAAGAATTTTCTGCACTCAAGTTTCTGCACTGTTTCATTACTGTGATTCTGTCTTTCTGTTGTCTTTTACACCTTCATTAGCTTTTATTTTGTGCCTGTGCTACTTCTGCACAGGTTGGGTTTTGCTAGTCATTTTCCTCACAACTAAGAAGTTCCTTTCTGCGTAGGAGCTGCCTTCACATGTTTGGAGACTGCATTCCGCCTTGATGCTCTCCACAGACAGATGAAACTCCTTGGAGAAGACAACCCAGTCAGCAAGCTTCAGGTTAAACTAGAGCCAGGTATTACTTTTGGCTGAAGCTGCTGTACACAAAATTTCTGTATATCAATGCTGGAATATAGACCAAAAAAGACTAATTTTTCCATATCCCTTATAAAAGAAAGAATAAAGAAATACTGGTTTGTAAACTAGTCTAAAAGTAAATAAGGAAACCTGTCTTCAAGTTTTCTTCAATGTTGGCTAACTCATCTTTGTAAATATTGTTCTGCTTAAGAACAGAACAGACTCACTGAGTAGAAACAGTATGAAAAACTGCCTTGAAAGCTGTGTGGTTAGAGCTTCTGAATATGTAAAATAAAGTAGTATAAAAATGAAAATATTTGGAAACACCATATAAAATCCTGTGCTGTTAAATGTTCCTTTTTTATGTGTTCATGTAATAACTATGTACCTATGCATAAGCATATAGATAAGCATATGTACTTGCTTTCCTGTTGAGTGAGCTGTGCAGAGGCTGTTTGGTTATCCCCTGAGCCACATGCATGTCTGCACTCCAGCATCATGTATCTTCACTGATAGTTCTCTAGTTCTGTGGTCACCACTGGAACTGTGAATCAGTCTTCAATCTAGGTGGTATTTAAAATGACCTAAAATGCAACTGGAGGTGATACTGGAACCAAGTAGAATGGAAAAGCATGTGTTAGAAGTCTCAAAAAAGGAGCAAGTAGTGATTACTTTATATTAATATCTTTAAAAATTTGTGGTATGGTGGCTTCCTGAGTTTGGCACTGAGGAGAAAAAAAAAGAAAAAAATGAGGATTTGTCTTCATATTCCAGCTTTCAGTGATTTCTAATTTGAAGCAACTTGTTCCTTTGGGAATTAATACTGAGCTTACAATGGTGGATTTTTTTTTTTGTCGTTGTTGGGGGGTTTTTAATTGGTTTTTTTTTTTTTTCCTAATTTTTAACCCAGCCTATGTGTTTACTGCAGTAAATTAAATGTACTGGCACAGGCTTGTTTCATTCTTAAGTCACTACGTGTTGACTTGGTGATGTCTAAGGGTTCTGTATACTTGGAAGTGTTGAAAATTACTGTCGTCATTAGAGTGTCTTATAAAATTATTGTCATCTCTTTTCAGGTGTAAATCCCAGTAATTTAATGAACCTCTTCACCTATGAGAAAGGCTACTGCTTTGTTTACTACCTGTCCCAGCTCTGTGGTGACCCAAGACACTTTGACTCCTTCCTAAGAGTAAGTGTGAATAAACATGAGTTTCTCTTGAGATTCAGAGCTGCTCTCCCCCTCCCCTGACCCCTATCTAGTTTTGGCACTGTGGCTAATTGATAGGGCTAAAGTTGAATACCAGTATGTCTGAGATGGGAGAATGGTTTGGGCCTGGCTGCCCACTGAGATGATTGTTTCTATAAGTTTTCTCTTCAGTGAATGTGCGCATACTCCTCTCATCTCAGATTATGAGTTTAGGGGTACCAAATACAGAGTAGTAGTATATTTTTGTTACCTCTTGTTCTGTGTTCTAAATAATTACAAAGCTGTTCCAGCATAGATTGACTGTAACTGGAACGATGTGATTTCATTCACTACTAAAAAGTAGTAGTTTGTGGGTTTTTAGCCAGGATGACAAAGGGTATGGTTTCTTGTATTGGGGCAGGTTTTGTGCCTTGAAATACATTTTCAAGACATGTAGAAAATTATGTCAGCTATTGACTTGTTTTTTGAAGTGACACAACTCATGCAGCATTTTCGTTTTGTTGCATGCATGTTTTTCATCTCCTCTTCCCATCCATCCCCCACTCCATCTTTCTCTAACCTTTGGTTTTGTAAGGGTGTCTTTATTCCATAATCTATCAGTGAATAATACAGTGGCCAGCTGTGTTCTGACTTTCCACTAGTGTGAAGTATGAGGAAACCTTTGTGCCCTTGATATGTTAATGTATCTGTGATCTGTGTCAGAAGAGCTCAGTGCTGCACTGAGCTGTCAGTGTATTTGCAGCTGCCCAATTTTTTTCTTGTTATGGTGCTTTCCTTATCCGTGAGGAAGGAGGGAGAATATTTTTCTTGATTTTTTTTTTAAAAAAACTTTTTTTAAACCTTCCAAATTCTAGTTTTATGCTTCCATCTCTATTTTATTTGTTGTTGCTTTTTAAATTATTTTTATTTTTTATTTTGT